CGCCCGCCGTCAGCGTGGATGGTGTGGCGTGTAGCCCGGGGCGTGGCGTGGGACGAAGAGGTTTGGGACCCGGCGGAGGTGCTACACCAGGCAGGCTTGTTTATGGAGCTGCTGGGCAGGCGCAACGGGACAGCCACCTGGCGGAAAGGACCAGCCCTATGACTGACGACGGAACTAGTCGGGGACGCCTCAGACAGGGCCTTCGCAGCCTTCTTACCTGGAGAAGAACTGGGCGCCAACAGCCGCATGCTTGTGCCCTTCAAAGCTCAGGAAACCCAGCGGCTGCAGTGGAATGACTTTAGCAGCACAGAAAGAGAACTGCGGGCGCTGCTGTACAGCTTGCACTGGTTGCGAGAGCAGGCACCGAACCTGTTGTACGGCCGGACAGTGCAATACCAGACGGACAGCCAACCGGCGGAATTCTGCATGGTTGGGATGAAAGGCAACGCCGCTTGCCTGCCCATAGTGGCGGAGATCCATCGCCTCTGCGCGGATACGGACACAGACATTTCAGTGGTGTGGTACCCACGCAGCCGGGAACAGCAGCAGCAGGCAGATGCGCTCAGCAAATACGAAGATGGATCACAGTGGCGAAGTATAAGCACTGGATGGGGCTGCCCTTTTCGGGAGCCGCAGCCGTCATGTGGCCAACACATGCTAAGGTTTTCATTCCTCGTTTAGCATATAGTAAGGTAATGCAGTTTCGTTTATGTTGCTGGGCTTTGGAGGCAAACAGAGCATGAAGGGGCAAGTACCACGTCCCCAGGGGGCAGCGGTTTTGCCACTGTTGTGGTACTAATAGCCGAATTGAGGATGTGAACGCCTGTTAATAGAATGCCAAGCCTGTAATGATATTCGTGCTGAAGAGGGATTCGGTCATCAACAGAGCATGTTGGAGGCCATGCAATGGGAACCCGCACGTGCGGCGAGGATATTGGAACATATGCGGGCTCACCGAAACTCAATTACCCCCTTTAGACGCTAGTCTGGGCTGATGTGCGGTGTTTTCCTTTCCTCCGTGTCTTTTAGGCGTTGTAGTATTACCCTTGGGCCCTCGGCTCGTATGGGTAGTCTTACAGGTATGGGGTCACGCACCCCCAACCATGTAACACACACACACGCATAAAACGTCTTCGTCGCAATTAAGCCCGTGAAATTTTACGGGTGCTGTGCATTACGGCTTGGGGGATTACGGGTCAAGACCTTGTGATTACGGGTAATGTAACCTGTGGATGACTTCCAGCACGGGCAACCAACAAAATGTCACCTATGTTATTCCTTATAAAAGGAATGCTTTGGCAACTTAAAAATAAGCATGTGTACAAATTTTCTTGGCCGGTGATTACATGTGAAGACCACGTGATTACGGGTAAACATGAATTTACGGGTGAAAACCTTTCCCAGAGTGACATAACCTAGCTTAGAGGCTATACTCGCTTTGCTCCTGCCGCATCTAAGCTACAAATACTGGCTGAACAGTGACGCAGATCGGTCGTGCGATGATGCCGTGCGAAATCTTGCCGCCGCCGAAAAGTGCGTAACAGCACTACCTACATTTTAGTTTTTTGGCATTGTAAATTTGCATTTGATTTAGTGGGTTCACCACTTTTGGCAGGCAAAATGGACGCAGACGCGGAACACGTGCTTTACCACACAGCATCAAGCACACTACAAGGCGAAAGATCAATATGCTTAAACTTGCTGTCATATTCTTAAAAGAAAAAATGTTGCAGATTCCGCTTAGCAGGTAGAGCCAGCGGCGGATAGAATTCCCTTTAGGCCGTACAACTTGAGGGCCTTGTTCATTGCATGTTGATTAAGTGCTCGTCCTGTAGTGCAGTACGGCAAGTGCGGCGCGGGAGGAGCAGACCAGAATTGGCCAGAGGACAGTGACTGAAACGGTAGTGCGTTACAAAGATTAGCTGGGAACAAAGCGCTGAATCCAGACAACGCAAGTTCGCCAGTCAACCGTGCAAGCAAGCGCAAGTCAGAACGTCGTTTGTTGGGGATTTTGAGTTGTTTAGATAGTGATTTATATTGTTTTCGGGACCCAGCTCAATAAGTAAGTAGATAAGGCGATACGACGTTACTGGCCTATCGAAGCGATGGCAGAACATGAGGAATTGCGCGGCGGAGTCCAAGAAGGCTTGGAGGATATCAACGACCAGCGAGATGAAGAAGGACATCAGAATGGCGCGCCAACAAATTACCCAGAGGGGGCCGATGCGGTGAGTAACAGACGCCAGCTATTACTCCACGCGGTCAGACAGCAGGCACAGTCAGCCGCCACAAGTTCTGTTATATTAAAGGCATGGGAAGGACCGGACCCAGTTTTAAAAAATAGCGGG